CCCAAGTCCTTGTCCCCGCTCCCCCTGCCCTGAGTGGGGTGCAGGCAGGGGGTCCCCCCTTCCCCGAGGGGGAAGCTGTGTTTTAGCTTGTGTTGTGCTGTGTTTTAGGGTGATCCCACATTTTAGGGTCCCTGGTACCTGGAGCAACCTCTACCCAGCCACAGTGCTGGTCGCAGAGCTTTATTGGTGGGAGGAGAGGGGGAAGGTCGTCATTCCCTAGGAGAGGAGGGCACTTTTCAAGAGCATTTTCTTATCAGGAGTGAGCTTCTTGGGAAAGGAGATGTTGAAATAGATGAGGAGGTCACCCCTGCGCCGGGGGTCCTGGAGCAGCGGCATCCCCTCCCCTGGCACCACTTTACAGTACTTGGGGCTGCAAAGCAAAGGAAGGGGCTGAGAGGAGCTGTGGGATGATCCTGAACATGGGGGCCACGGCCCTGAGCCCCAATGTGTCCACGTGCAGAGCCCCACGCATGCTTCTGAGAGGGTTTCTTAAGGCAAGTTTGCTCCTCCAGCTTCAACTGGTGGCCTGCCCTCCTCTTCCAGCCTTGTGTCCCCACGTTCCTTGCCCTGCAGGCTGTACCATCCAGCCCTCGTCTCATTCGTGTCTTCCACCCACCCACGCCAAGCCCGCTCCCTGCCTCTGCTACCACCAACATGGCCCCCAACCAGATGAGTAGCCCACAATGGGCATCCTCCTCCTCCTCCTCCTCCTCCAGGCTGGGACCCCCCCGAGCCCTGAACCTGCTGGAAAAGCTTTTGAAACACCCCAGTAATTCAGGCAACAGGGACGTGCTTGGGAAGTGCCGAGCGCTTGCCAAGAGGAACAGGCCAATGCTGAGGTTCCTCCCAAGCGTCCGTTTACCTCCTTGGCCACCAGGCTCTGCAGAAAGGCCCCAGCCGACCATCTGAGCCCATCAGCCGTTTGCCCTGCGGCACTTACTCCACAATGTCGTTGATGGGGATGTTCAGCAGCCTCCCATCCAGCGTCCTCACGTCCACCGTGCAGCCGATCAGCGCCTGCAAGGTACAGAGCGGGACCTGGAGCTGCATTTGCAGCCCCAGAGGGGAAACATAAGCTGGGGCGGCTCCGTCCCCTCGCTTGGCTCTACCTTTCCCAGGGGGATGGTGGTGACGCAAGCGAGGTTGTCGTTGGCTCTTTTAAACCTTGGGTGGAGTTTCTCTTGGACAATGAAGGTGATGTCAGCTGGAATGACATTTGGGCCCTAAAATGGAAGGAAAAAACATAAAGATACCTGGAAATGGTTTGGTGTAAAACAAATGATTTTATACAGGAAAAGGTGACACGAATGCCTGCCCCTTTGTTGCTGCTTTCAGCTAGCTTCAGAAAAGGGAAAGGTATTCTCTTCCTTTAAGAAAAAAAGGAGTCTTTTATTGAAGACTCCTGCTCAGCTAAGGGAAATCAGACTGGGTTTCACAAAGGTGATGCTAGGCAGAAAGCCACCCCTTTCAATTATTTTTTATCTATCCTAAGGAAAATCCAGGCAGGAAGGGCTCCTTAGAGTGTTTCTGAGAACAGTAACACTGAATTGCTCCGTTAGCCGTGCTGCCAACTGCCCACAGAAATGGGAAACCTGCAAAGAGCGCACAGTTGATCTCAAGGAAACCTGGCCCAGAACGTCAAGTCACGGTCACTACCTGGTCTCCTTCCTTCTCGAAGGTGATCCTGGTGCCCTGCTTCCAACCCGGCTGCACGTCAATTGTTAAGATCTTATCCCTGATGGTGCTCGTTTGACCATCTTCGTTCATCACCTGGGGAGTGGACAAGGGGGTTAGAAGAGCTGGGTCATAGAATCACAGAACGGTTTGGGTTGGAAGGGACCTTTCCAGGTCGTCTCGTCCACCCCCCCTGCCACAGCCAGGGACATCTTCAACCAGATCAGGTTGCTCAGAGCCCCGTCCAACCTGACCTTGAATGTTTCCAGGGATGGGGCATCGACGACCTCTCTGGGCAACCTGGGCCAGTGTTTCACCACCCTCAGCGTAAAAAAATTCTTCCTTAGATCTAGTCTGATATCTAGTCTCCCCTCTTTTAGTTTAAAACCATCACCCCCTTGTCCTATCGCTACAGGCCCTGCTAAAAAGTGTGTCCCCATCTTTCTTACAAGCCCCCTTTAAGCACTGGAAGGCCGCAGTAAGGTCTCCCCGGAGCCTTCTCCTCTCCAGGCTGAACAACCCCAACTCTCTCAGCCTGTCCTCACAGCAGAGATGTTCCAGCCCTCTGACCATTTTCGTGTCCCCCCTCTGGACCCGCTCCAACAGGTCCCTGTCTCTCCTGTGCTGAGGACCCCAGAGCTGGATGCAAAACTGCAGGTGGGGTCTCACCAGAGCGGAGCAGAGGGGCAGAATCCCCTCCCTCAACCTGCTGGCCACGCTGCTGGTGATGCAGCCAAGGACACGGTTGGCTTTCTGGGCTGCAAACTCGCATTGCCAGCTCATGTCCAGCTTTTCATCCACCGGTACCACCAAGTCCTTCTCTGCAGGGCCCAAGGGACAAAACAGAGCGGTGATCTGTGACACTGAGGTGCCCAAAGAGAGGACGTTATAACTGCTCTGCTCATCCAGCTGCGTGTGAGCCGGCAGAAAGGAGGGCAAGTACAGCTCACACTCCGCAGCAAAGTGGCTGCGGGAACAAATGGGGACAGATCAATTAGGAGGAACTCAGGGCTGAAACCAGGAGACCAGGACAGTGAGAGGGGGCGATTCAGGTCACTGAGAGCACAAAGGACAAAAAGCCCCATGTGAAAATGAAATCAGGGGAGCGCAGGAAACGCTGTGCTCCTTCTCCACCCCACTCTGAAATCAGCCCTTCCTTCCCAGCAGCTTTTGCATCACCTCTCGTGCTGAATTCCTTTCACCAAGGCAGGAGAGGAGGGTACCGGTTTGGATCCTGCTGGTGTTTCTGCTGGGTTTGGCTCCGACCCCTCCCCACGGCACAGACACAGTGCCATGGCCTGCTGAGCCCCCTGAGCAGGACCAGCCCTAAAGCCTCAGGTTCTGCTGCCGAAACATCCTACACAAAAAGGAGGAGAGCCCAGACCCAAATTCCTCACCCTGCAGAGCATTCCCCCCTCCTTCACACCCACTGCCCCTACCCGGCGGGAGATCTTAATCTTCTTGGTGCAGCCATAGAACAGGTCTTCAAGGGAGAGGTAGAGATCCCGCACGATCGGGGGATCTTGCTTCATCGCTCCTCGTCCTCGCAGCCCTCCGAAGGGCAGGATCAACTCCGAGCCGTCCTCAGCAAAGAACTCTGCGTGAGCAAGCAGAGAGGGGGTCACCTCACTCGGATCAGAGGGTCAGGGGTGTCCCCCAGAGCCTCCTCATCGTGGAAGCTGAGCACCCCAAATACACCACCCAGAAACCTCCCATCTGCTTCTACCTGGGACCACCTTCCTCCTTTAGCTGAAGTGTTTTTCTCCGGGAGTGTTTTTATCTTGCTCACGTGTTTACAGCAGTCTCGCCAACCTGACCCCTCTTTTTGATGGAAATCCTCCAAGAAAAGGGTCACAACAGTAGTTGGGGAGACCTGACAGCCTGAACACGCACCCCTCGGGCCTCTTGCCCACCCAGGACTGGGGGAAGTCAGGATCTAACCTCCAAGCACTGGAGACCAGCAACCCCAGAGGAACCTGAGAGTAGCTGAGCAGGGAAACATCCCCGTAAAGCTTAAAGCTCAGAGCTGGCAGTGGCCACAGCACCACGACAGCCACAGACTGGCCTGGGCCACCCCTCAGAGCCCCCCTACCCACCTGCAAAAGGGTTGTCTCCACCAAAGAACTCCCTGAAGACTTTGTCAGGGTTATTGTGAAACACATAGCCGGCGGTCCAGGGGTTCTCGCCGCCAAACTCCGAGGGGATGCCGCCTTTCAGCCCCTCTTCTCCAAACTTGTCGTAGATGCCTTTCTTCATGGCTTAGGGAACAAGGAGGAGTTGGGAATGGCACGCTCCCCCCATGCTGGGTGCGGGGTGAGAGCCCCAGTCTGAGATCCAGGTTTTGCTTGGATGGAGGCTGGAGGGGGGGTTCCCCACCACCTTGTGAACAGCAGCAGGTGGGATGGAAGCAGGAGCATATGCCAGCTCTCAGCCTGGCTGTGGGTCGCAAAGCTGACGCCACCTCCCTGGGTGTGCCAGGGACCGGGGGTTCAGAGCTCAGCACACCTCTGGCCACACCAGAGGCGCTTCACCCCCCCGTCCGACCCCTCCTGCCCCTTAACTGTGTGGAAGAGAACCGTCTCCCCACTTACGGTCGCTGAGCACATCGTAGGCCTCCGCCAGCCGCCTGAACCTCTCCAGCGCCCAGGGCTCCTTGCATTTTAAAGGATGGTTCTTCAAGGCCAGTTTCCGATAGCTATGAAGGGGAAAGGAGGGGAGAGCCCAGCCTCGTAGCCAGCCCCGGCGCCCCAGAACCCCCCTCCCCCCCCCCCAGCCTAGGCTGTTCCCTCACACCTTCTCCCAGGTCCTTTCCCCTCCTCAGGCCCCTGCTGTGGGGAGCAGGGGGAGGCGAACGGCAGCCCCCCACAGGGTCCCGGACCCCCAGGTCTCTCCCCGGCCCCGGGGCTTCCCCCCCCGACAAGACCAAGGCCCCTCACGCCTTCTTGATGTCGGCGTCCGTGGCACCGCGGCCCAGCTCCAGCACGGCGTAGTAGTCCTGCCCCATGGCGGCCCGCTCCCACGTTGCTATGGACACCGCGTCGGGGGGCGACGGGAACTTCCGGTCCCGTGCCGCGCCGGGCACCATGGGAGTTGTAGTTCTCCCCGCACACTTCCGGACTCCACCCGCCCCAGGCCTCTCTTCTTCCCCCCCCTCTTTTTTTCCCCTTAACTTCCCCTCCTTCCTCCTTTTTTCCCCCTTCCTCCTTTTCTCTCTCCCGTTTCTCTCTCCTTTTTTCTCTTTTCTCTCTCCTTTCCCGCTCTTTTCTCACTCTCCTCTCTCTCTTCTGGTTTCTCCCCTCTCTCCTGCTCCTCTCTTTTTTCCTCTCTTCTCTCTTTTATCTCTCTCTCTCCCCCCCCCTCTTTTTTAAAAAAAAGACGTTTTCTTGGAAAATTTCTTTTCCACACGCGGGTTATCAAAGCAGTAGCTTTATTTCAGTCCATACCGTGATACAGTTGCCTGCATCGCCCCCCGCCCCCCCCCTTAGAAAGAGCAGTTTTTCAGCGGTGAAAAAAAATTATTGCAACACAAGATCCTCTCTAACACCTCAAAGACGCTCTCAGAATTAAAAAAATGATCAAAGTTGTGTTGTAGTAAGAAATATTACCTGTCACCAAAAACCTCTGTATAGAGCCTGGTCATCACAATAGCCTCAAAAACTTCTATATACACATCTCAAACACACTGTACAGGAAAATAAGCGTGGAAGAGCTATTTGGACACATCTCTCCACTATCTGGCCAATCTGAACACTTAAAGTTCGGAAAGTTGGTATCTCCTCACTATCCCGTCTCTGCAGCATGTGTAAATTTGCTTCTCCCAAGAAGCCACCTGAAAAAGAGCCGGGGTGGGGGGGGAAGTAGTATTTAAGCATAGTATTTCCCAAGTGACAGTTAAAAGTAAAATTCTCAGATCAGCTTTCCTTTTGGGCTTTTACAGAGGGAAGAGGAGGTGAGTGTCCCCTGAAACAGCATTAGCAGGTTTCCAAGAACAGTTCTAGGTTTTACCAGGAGCATAGGGAGCAGGTAAGTGCTCACACAAGGGTTCTTCTGTTAAATTCGAAACAGAAAATTACTTTTTTTCACAGTTTTCTTGTGTTTTGCACACGCCAATGAGTTGTGCAGGTCAAATCTCAGCCTCCATGTGAGGCTGAGTGTTACCCTTGAGGGTGCGTGTTGGCTAGGAGAGGGGGAACTGGAGTGCAGAGCTGGAACGGGTTAAAAAAAAGAGCTGATTTGCACCAGTGCCACCAGGTTGAAAGCCCAGGGAACCCAGGTCACCCTCCCCAATCTGCACAAGCGCAGCGAGGCATCTGGAAACATAACAGCAAGACCCATTTTCTGGTCTCGAGTCATGAGGGGACAAGAGAAGATGGGCAGCACTGCGCAGTCGGCTGCTGCTTTTACCCCAATGATCCTCCGAGCACAATTAATTCACGCTTTTTACAGAAACACAGTTCTGCCAGAGCTACTCCAACCACCAAGCTACTCCACTGCTTCAGTTTTGCTCCTGCATGATGGAGATAACGCCAGAGTATACCACAGAGGATTTGTTTACGCAAAATATTAAGATTATTCAGCTAGAAAAAAAAAAAAGCTTAAAAGTCAACTGTGTGAAGGAACCCGTTGTAAAGGCTGCCAAATCCTGAGATAAAGGCAGCTGCCTGCTACCTGGCATCACCTTTCCCTGCACCCTTTATCTTGGGCGATACACAGTATTCCTTACCTTGTACACAGGGTCGCAGTCAGCTTCTGTGAGATCGAGGACATAATCGAGGTCTTGCTGAATGATAAAGCAGGTTCCATCACCTACATGAGCAGAACAGATACGAAGCAAGGAAAGAACGGTGGCCAATTAGTGAAATAAGCCACACTCTTTATTGCAAACAGCACTAACAGGCCCATCAGAAACACCTGATCACAGCAGACAGAGTCCCCAGGAAGAGGGAGAAGTGCTGTGAGGATGTCAGAGAGATGGGAAAAGGCTTTAATCATTGAGAGGCAACTTAGAGGCCCTATTTTGGAGGAACACGGGGGGAAAAAAAAATCAGAAGGCAAAAAGCAACCATATAATATAGCTCCTACTACATCCCCTTTTTGCCATGGACACTCTGCCCAGCCAGCCAGTGCTTCTATCTAAGACAGCAATACCCAAAGAGCAGAAAACTCCTCAATTCGATTATACAACTCCTACTCACACAATACAGGACTTGAGTTACCTTGGCTGGCAATAAATCCATCTCGGTACGGGAGCAGTGAAAGCACTGGCGCTCCTGATCTATGGATGACCTGGATTGGAGCGCTAGAAAAAGGAGCACAAACAAGGGATGAGTATTACGGTCTATAGTCAAGAGTCCATTCCAATGTGCAAACACTGAAAGAGTGTGAGCTCGTGGTTAAAAGATACATGAGGAGAATGTACAGGACATGGGGACTTGATCAGTGGTTAGCAAAGAGTCTCTGTCCCCTAGAAGCAGATGGAAGTCAGCACTGGTTTTCCTGCGGATGTTGCCAAAGGATGGAAATGGGAGTAGCTAGCAGGTGAACATCAGCATGCCTCCATGGATCATAGACAGGAATTATCTTTACCAAGGCACAGACAAAAGCTTGGAGCTCATCCAGCATGAAAGACTCTTCAGATGTTGGTGCCAGCCTCTCCAGCCCCGACCCAAAAGCACCATCTGGATGCCTCCCTGCTCGAAGCTCGCCTTTGACACCAATAAAAACCAACTTAGAGCAGCTCCTGCCCTCAGCGACAGCTCAGTTCCAGTCCTATGCTGGAATGAGGATCAGGGTAAAGCATAAGACCTTACAAAGACACTTAGGTCTTATTGGTGAAGGAGAGGAAGGGCCTGTGCTTTTGGTGGGAGGAATACTGCTGTTATGCTTGTAGACAGATTTAGCAGAAAACTTCTTTATGTACATAGATTATATATAATCGCACAAATATTCATATATAACATAATATGCACAGTACACAATATATGAACATAATTTTTATATATATATTAAAAAAAGCAATAATCTGAGAGGTCAGGCTATGCCAAGACCACCCCTGGTCACAGATCAAGACTGAAAAGCTTTTCAGTAACTAAAGGAGGCCACACAGAGCCTATAGTCTTTTAGAAGGCACCTCCCAAAGAACATCCCATCAGATCACCAACCCAAGCAAAAGTATCCTCCCCAGTGCTCCCCAAGAGAAAGAAATGGCTGCAAGAGGCTCAAGAGCTCACGGTGCCATGGCTTGGGCTGTATCCACCCTTCAGAAGGGGCACTGTCTGCCAGCACCCTCGATCTGGCTCTCTTTCCCAGGCAAAAAACTAGCTGTCATTTAAATATTTGCAGCCCCAAGCACACACTCACTTTGTGTTTCTCACATCCAGCTGATATATGTTCCCATCCTGAGTCCCTGCTAGGATATAGGTACTTGAGAGGAATGTGCAGCAGTTGAACGCATCAGATCCAACGAAGAGGAACACCTGGGAATACAGGAACAAATTCAAGTGTCAGACACTCATGGATGAGGACACAGGACACCCAGGAGAAGGAAGCAATAATTTATTTAGAAGTCAGTACATCACTTCCACGAGTCACGGCACAAACTGGCAAACCCAGAGGTTAATAACCCCTCAGCTCTGCTCCAAAACACAGAAGGGAACAGTGCTCCAGGATCAGTTTTGCCAAGTCAGCAGAGACACTGCAATCAGTGAATGCTCCTGAGTCTCCTTTGGATAAAGGATGTGTCACTGTGACAGGTGAACCAATACTGAGCTCAGACTAATCTTCAGACACCCATGGAGCAGCGAGACCAGATCTGCATGGCAGGTTGGCAAAGACCACTCCTTCCTCCCAGAGCTGCAGTCACTGTTACAGAGGCTGTGAGTTTTCTCCCAGGTGAGCCTTTGCCATCTCACTGACAGGCCTTGGTGAGCTTATCTGTTCCACCCAAATTTTACTCTCCACAAACACCACAAGCAGTTTAATCTGCTACATCACCAGGAGTGCCTGATAAGATCTTCAATACCCTAGATCTACCAAATCCATCTCCCTTTGCCAAGAGGAAGGAGATGGACTGGTGACGACCTAAGGTCCCCTTCACACACTGCTTAAAACACCTGCCAGAATAAACAGCAACTTTACACCTTGGCTGGATGAGACAGCCTGCAGTTCCTGCACTCACAATGACATCTACTGGCCACTGTTCAAATTTAAATACCATATCCTCCATACCCAGGTTAAATCGTGAGCAATTCTTCCTCCTCAAACCCCCATGTAAAAATCTGGCCAGCAGGAAGGAGAGAAAGCATCCCTTTATTGTACCAGGTTTTAGTCTCTCCTCCAGGGAATACATACAGGGGACAACACTGCAGCATAAGACCAAAGGCAGGCAGATGAGCCCTCCCCTGCCTCCAGCCTGGTTCTGTCCCCTTCTGTGCCACATGGTGAACCTCACTGGGGAATGGAGCTGGAATAACACTGAATAATTAGATAGATAAACTATCTAGGTTTAACCTGGCTCAATTCCTCACCCCAGTGCTCCGCACAGCCACATGAACAGCAGTGTACAAACTGAGGAGCTGCTGCAGCAGCAATAGAAACAAAGGGACTGGGGCCCCGGAGCTGATTTTATAGCAGCATCTCAGAGCACTCTCCCAGGCAGGTACTTCTGAGAGTCTCAGACTCCTTACCGGCTGCCTGCTCTGCAGTCCCACTCCTTGAAGCTTCTTGTCTTCTCGAGCCAGCAGCAGGATTTTCCCTTCTGTCCCAATCTCACGTTCACCTGACAAAAGGACAATAGTTAACTGCAGCAGTGGCTATACAACAAGTCTTGATGGTACCAAAACCTGACAGTTTGGATCACCCCTGCTGAACCTGTAACACCATTCCTCCATACCCTAAGACACCAGATGCAGCAAGGCAGGACAGTAATCAAAGAGACTCCTGTTAATCACTCAAACTGCTTGATAAGGCTCAATTCCTCTGCAGGACTGGAGTGCTCTATTTTGGCAACCCTAGTTCCCTTCCCTAGTTGGTACAAGGGCACACAGCAGCGTGTCAAGCACTCAGGATTATTGGTGACAAACGTAAGCAGTTTGGGGAAGGGAAACAAAGGTTGAATTTTAAGAGAAAAACCCTTACTAGGAGCTTTTTCAGGCGTGCCCAGGTTCAGTGAGTTGTCAGCAGTGCCCACAGCAATGCCGTTGACAGGAGAGCCACAGTCAGCAATGACACCCAGACAGGCGGATTTTCCACAGTCCCAGAGGCGGGCAGTGCCATCTCTAGAGCAGGAAAGGACATTTCTTCCCCGATCCACAATGGCAGTGTCCAAAATACCTGCATCAAAGCAAAGACCATGCTCAGACAGACAGCATGGAAGGCAGACAGACAAAGCATCTCATTTCCCAAGGTGAACTCAACTACAAGCCCCAAGCCACTGTCCCCAGAGTGCCACCAGTCACACACAGCCAAATTGCGTGGTGTGCAACGTGGGGCAGGGAGCCACTGCATCTAGAAAGATGTACATGGGAGGCAGCAGCTCCCAGCAAATCACATGCCCAACACAGAGGCAAGATATTACCAATAAAATGATCGGCAACACCTCACCTCGAACTGAGCCAATACTGCAGCTGCTGCTGAATTTCTACCTCCAGAACTAACCTCTAACTTGGGCAGAAAACAGTCTGGCCCAGCACTCTTAAAACGTTGCCAAGTCCAGCTCTGGATAATCCCAAAAGTTGTGTGGGGCAAGCAGCATCCACATTATGCAGCTACAGCAACATCAAAAGAGCAGTCTTTGCAGGTGCTAATATCCCCTAAATACTTCACTTCACTGCGGGCTGTTGAGTCTAGATCTGAAAAATGACGCAGTGTTTTTTTGGAAGGGAACAGTCAGATGGTTAGAAGATTTAATTGACACTTTCCCTACAGAAGCAGTCATTAAACATGACAAGTTCAAATGACAGGACAAGCCAAGCAAATCAACTGCAGCAGTTTGGGCTGGAGTTATAAGCAGCAAACAAAGTCAACTTCAGAGTCATCAGGAGCCAGCCAGCCAACTTCATTCTGACCAAAGCTCTGTTACGCTGCCTGCCGCATTTTGTTTACAGGACATTTGCAGCAAAGTATTTTGAATCCACACAAATAGATCATATGAGAACAATGGCAGGTTCAGCACAAGACAAGTTTTCAAGTTAATCAAGTTTTGGGCAGCCAGCCACATGGCTTATTAATTAACCTTTTCAATAAAGCCTAGCATCTTGTGAGACAGGGAAAACAACCTGTATAGAGCAGTTAGTTTCTCAGGGAGGAGATAATTAGGAGTAGGATTTTGGGCATCTGATGCCACATCCACAATTCACTTGGATTTGCTCATGATCACCCAAGCATTCAAGTCGGCATCCCTTAGGAAGTAATCACCATGACAAGACAGCAGCACCAGCCACTGTGCTGTGGGTCAGGTGTAAACAGGAGTAAAATGGAAGCCTGCTTAAGCATTACATATAAATCCACACTGCTTCTGAACGAGGGGTCCTGGAAACCAAATCTTCTTTCCAGAGATTAACAGAGGCTCTGTCCAGAAACTTGCTTTGATCACAGCTCTCAGGAGCCTTTCTGGGTAGCTCATTTGCCTTCCCTTGCAGTTCTTCTTTAGGACTAAGACAGCATCAACTGGAGGAGTTTGTAGCGTAGACCCTGAATGCAAGGAACAGCACTAAACTCAACCATGTAAGGTAGCCAGTGCATCCTCTGCATGAGGACACAAGGAGGGTGAAGAATTTGCTCTCATTTTCAGCAGCACGACCATCAGCAGGGGCAGAGCTGAACATCTGCCCTCGGTACAAGGGTGGACATGCTTATTCCAGCCCTTCTTAAGAAATAATCTCTTAAATCTCTTAATTATCTTTGCAGCTCCTCTTGTTCTGCTTTACTCACTTTCAACAGCACACGTCCTCGAGGCAGGTAACTGCCTGCCTGAGTTCTGCAGGACCATAATAAACTGCTATATGCTTTTCTGGGCAAGAAAAAAAAAAGAAAAAAAAAAAAAGGAAGAGGCTGTGGAGCAACTGAATGTAAGCAGGATGATCTGGGTGCAAGCAAGAGGCATTCTCAGTGCAGGCAGCAAGGCTACTTACTGAATGCAGGTCAGAGCTCTGGAGAGCTGAGACTGCCCTGGAGGAGCAGAATGCCCTCTGCCTTGACCTCTGCCACTCGCGACAGACTAATGGACTGCATCCTCCCTCCTTTTACTTTAATTAATGAGGAAAACACAGGCTGGTGGGTGAAACAGTTTCATCTGTCTAATACAACAACTACTGATCTTTTTATTCAAGTTCTGGGAGCTTGAAAAAGATACTCTGGACATCTAATACAAATGCAGAGCACAAAGGGCAGTAGGCTGGCGACTGAATGTTAGTCCTCGGATGCAAGGCAATTATACACACGGCAGATCAAGCATTTTAAAGGCTAAGTACTCTGTACCTCCTTTGTGACCTTTAAATGTTACTACGCAGCTGGCATCTTCTGCTGACCAGATCTTTAGCTGGGCATCCATTCCCCCACTCAGAACCACGAGGCCCGATGGGAAAAACCTGCAACAATTCACATCATACACATGGCCTTCCAATAGTCTCTGGAAAAACAAAGAACTATGTGCTAGTTCCATTGTTATCAACCTTATGCCGAGCAATTTTTGAGCTATGACACTGGAAAACCTGGCGTTCCCACGTGGGCAGAGGATTAAGTTCAAATCCTTTGGGTTTGTGTTCCTGGAACAGACTCATCTGAATTTGAGGCAGTCAAAGAGGTAGCGGGTACGCTTTGCACCTTCCCTCTACCATCTGAGTAGCTAATTACATAGCAAAGGATACTACATTTGTTTCTAATCACAGGTTAAATGTCTTTATCCTCTGCCAAACAAGCAGCGGACAGGTCAAGCTCCACAAGAAACACCTTAACTGGTAAGGCAGATAGCCATGATGTGGTTAATCCATCACAGGCAGGAGTCTTTTCTTCCTCACCTCTTCTCTACTGCAGAAGAAGTTCAGTGCTTGTACCACGCAGGTTAGGAGCTGTCAGTTACCTTCTGCACTCTAGCTGTCATTCCTAAGTACCCATTCTCATTTTCACCCTGGGACTCCTCTCTGGATTGCTGAGCATCATTTCCCTTGGGAGAAGTCATGTCTTCCAACAGTTTTGACTTAAAACCACCAAGATGTCAAATTTCGATTAGCTTTTCAATAAAAAGTGTGTGGATAGCCTGACCAAAGTCACGGCCGAATGACTTCAGTAATGTCACAGACAACACACAATGTCAAAGCTTAGACGGTCTTACTCTTATTTCTCCATTCGCAGCCTGCCAGATCTTCATGGTCCCATCTGTGCTGGTAGACACGCCAAGCCCTCCACCACTGGAAATATCAAGACAGGTAATCTGCAGGAGGGTAAAACCACCAAACATTAGCTTTATATGAATGACCCTGTATATAGGTATTTCTGCTCAAGACCCTAACTCTGTACTGGGGGACATCTGCCAAGTACATCATTCAGCACTATTATCTCCCCAAGACACACTGCTGGACTCATTTAAAACACCCAAAAGAGCTTCCAAAGTCCTAGCTAAACATTTTCAGCCTGATAATATCCTAACATTAAAGCAAGGACTTCACAGGCTTTCTCACCTCACCCTCTTGATATGTTTTATGAGATATTAATTAAGCCCTTAAGAAATCAAAAAACAAGCAGATCCTGAACAGCAGGGTTTATCTAGAGGACAAGGGCAGCACAAAAAGAAATCCTCCTCAGTTTATCTGTTTACACAGATTGCTGCATTCCTCCTTCAAGAGTGAGCTGCTGATCTGGGCTGACCTGCAGCCAGGGCTCAGACAAGTTGGGTGACTGGAACCTGGCACAAAGCACCCTAGATTTCTTGTAATTGCCACCAAATTTGACAGAGAAATTGTTATTCTCTGCCTGTGACTCTACAGAGATCTGCCAAGCAGGGAGAAAAAGAAATGCTGAGTCAGAAGCCTGCAGAGACAGCAGCTGTATTTCAGGTTTACCCCAGGTGAAGCAGAAATCTGGATTTTTCTAGCAACTCCTGTACACAGGTAAGAAATTGAGCCAAGCTGTTCCACACCAGCTCAAGATAACTGGCCAGCTTGAGAGCGCCCTGACTCACAAGCCCACAAGACATTGTTTGAGATATTTATGAAGCCAATGGCAAATTTTCTGAAACACTGACTCAAAACTAGTTCCTTATGCAGGCAGGCTAACTCCTCACAGTCTATCACACTAAGGTATTAACAACTGCCTGCTTTGCATAAACACTGGGAAAGCTGAATACTTCTGAAGAGAGCAGATGTTGATCTTATGTTCTTGCAAAAGGGTAGCCTTTCCCATGATGCCAGACATTATTGCTGCCTTTTGAGAAAGGCAGATGCATTTTAGTTGTGGATAAATGCAGCTGGACTAGATGATCATTGCAGGTCCCTGAAATATTCTATTCTATTCTAAAATAATTTAAGATAACAGGTATTCTAGCCTTCAGTGAAACAATTACATCTCCCAAGTGACAGAGGTATTTCCAACACAGATTGCAGCAACACTAAACAGGCTGAAAAAACAATATAGATTTTATTAGAACAAAGGTTAACACTAGTGTTGCATCCTGCAAAAAACAATAAAACTATCACAACTATGTAGTGGAATAGCTGCTTTGTCTTGCAAGATGTGGATACTGGAGTCATGCTGTATTACCTCCGAAAGCTTCCTAGTAATTGCATTTGCACTCCATGGATTAGAAGAAAATACTACAGTGGTAAAATCCACTGCCAGAAGTGAGAAATGCAGATCCACCACAAGAAATGCAGATTACAGTTCCATCGCCATTCCAACCCCCTCACCAGCACAACAAAGCACAGGTTTCTGGTCTTAACTTGCACAGTCTGACAGTGCGCTTGCAGGTTGCAACCACCTGGTCAGGTATGTAAGGGATGAGGCTGCTCATCTTTATGCCAGGCTTCAGATTAAATGCTTTTCTGAACAATTATCTATTCTCAAACAGGACTGGGCTCTGTCGACCCTCTTGCACATGCTCAGCCTTAGCTAGCAGCCAGCCTGAAGAGACAGTCAGATTTACTACCATGTTCACAGGCAAACCCAAAGATATGAGTAGATTGAGAGACTTTGCCAAAAAAGATGACAGCTAGAGGCCCGAGATTTAAGGATGATGGCCTTGGGCAGACCAAATGCATAACAGACCTGCATCAATCTCCAGCTGTTTCCCGATGTTAAGCAGGACATCCTATGGTATCCTATTGCTGCATGTGCATCAGCCAGAGCTTGTGGGGACATGATATGCCACATTTCAGTCATAAGTTCTCCTGTCCAAGCAAGGGTCAGACCAAACTCCTCTCCTGAAAAGCTCTGACAGCTCAAATCACAGCTAATTTTAATAGGGTGCAGGATCAATACTCAACCTCCAGTTGAAAAAAACAATCGGGAATGGAAACAGGAATTAGAAGATTTAAATAAGAGCACAAGGTAATGGTTTAGCCATTACAACAGCCATTAAGTACATTTACTTACATATCTGTAACATGAGAAATACATTGGTAACATGTACTCAGCATTAACGAGGTCACACCTCGAATACTGGGTTCGGTTTTGGGCCCCTCACTACAAGAAAGACTTTGAGGTGCTGGAGCGTGTCCAGAGAAGGGCAACGAAGCTGGTGAAGGGTCTGGAGCACAAGCCTTATGAGGAGCGGCTGAGGGAACTGGGGTTGTTTAGCCCTGGAGAAAAAAAGGCTGAGGGGAGACCTTATCGCTCTCTACAACTGCCTGAAAGGAGGTTGTAGTGAGGTGGGGGTTGGTCTCTTCTCCCAAGTAACAAGTGATAGGACAAGAGGAAACAGCCTCAAGTTGTGCCAGGGAAGTTTAGGTTGGGTATTAGGGAAAAATTTCTTGACCAAAAGGGCTATCAAGCCTTGGAACAGACAGCCCAGGGAAGTGGTTGAGTCACCATCCCTGGACATATTTAAGACATGTAGATGTGGCACTTAGGGACATGGTTTAGTGGTGGGCTTGGCAGTGTTAGGTTTATGGTTGGACTTGATCTTAAAGGTCTTTTGCAACCTAAATGATTCTATGACTCTAACTTGTGTGGCATTTTATATAACAAACCAATCTGTGGTAATTTGCTCCCTAGTTAAAAAAAAAAAAGCCTGTGAAGGTCATTCAAGGAGGAATGAAAAGCCTCACTGATGTTTGACATATCCTCAAATTTTCAGGAGGGATACATAAACAGGCAAGGCCAAGCACGAGTGCCCAGAACAAGAGGCAGCAGGTAAAAGGATAACTGGAGCTTAGTCCACACCAGCTTTAAACTCATCTACATATTAATAGATATTGCTTCAGCTGCTTTCCAGAGGAGATATCTGCAGTGCAGCTGTAACCCATCACACCCATTTGACAGCAGACTAAACACTTACGCCTGCATTTCCATTTTGCTGTGCTTTGAATGTTGATTCCATTTATCACACAAAAGGGCAGCTGGGGACTCTTAAGTAGCACAAAGCTCAGAGAAGTGATTCACCTCTGTCTCCAGAGCTGCCTTACTGCCAAGCTCTGTCTCTCAGCAGAGCCCCCACTTCCTCTTAAAACAGCTGTAGAGATGCAGAATTGCCTTGATGTCAAAACGCACCTTGATTTATACCACTTTTGAGCTTCATTAACAGAGACTAACTTTTCAGCATTTTCAGCTGGGTTTATCACAACCATTTACTTAATAAATCATGAGACAAGTGCACTAAAACATCTCCACAGGAGCCTTCAGGGGACTCCCTTTAGGGCAGCCGGCTGTACCTGCAGGCTACACACTCGGTAGTTTCTTGGATCATTTCCACGTAGGGTTAAGTGTTCAGCAAAAACACAGACTACTTTCCAGCAAAGCCAAGTTATGTGCTTCTCTTGAGTGAAGAAATGAAATTTCAGGTCAGAGTCAGCCTTTCTGTATCACAGTTTAGTGACAAGCTGTTACTTGTTGCACCCGCAGATTGATGGGGGTGCAATAAGAAAGATTTTTCAGGAAAACAAGTAGGACTGCTTTTAAATAAGTGAGAAGTTCATGCAATTTATTTATTTTTTAAATAAAAGCTGGGCCTTTCTGGGGTCTGAATTCTCAACAGGTCAAGGTGAGTTTATGCAATATTCAATTCCCACCCCTACACACAGAAATTCATACAGCAAATATCAAATACAGACAACTTCATTACATAGGAGCAAACAGCTGCTATAAACTAGGGATAGATTTGAACCAGTCAGAGATGAAGAGATCAGTACCTGGAACCTCTTATTTTTATCTTGGTTTTCGACACACTAATTCACATATCTTATTCCTTTACAGGAGGATCTATCATGGGCCTGAAGTGAGCAGAAATTACATCACCTGAAAGAAAACAGTCTAAAGAATTTTAAAGATTATGTTTGGGGGCTAAACATAACCATCATCAAGTTTCCCAAGTTCTTACAGTCTGATATATTTCATTACCTAGTTCACACACAAAGTCATGCTGCAGACCACCCCTCAGAACAAGCACGTGATGGTCAGAGACATGTGAAAGTTCATGGTTGCTTCTAGTTATTTCTCATTCACTTCACAAGGTTACTTACACTTTTCTGATGAATTCTACAAAAAGTTGTGTATGGGGCCAGGAACTTGGTAGACACATTTTCGTGAGGACAAGAAATGAGAATGCTTTTCTAGAGGAGGAAAGAGAGGGGAAAAGAATTAGAAGTGTTCTTACGCCTACTGAAACACAGGGGCTGCCAAGGTAGAACTACGATCTGGACCCAGCTGTGGTCTCTCACAGCCTGAAGACTGATGGAAGGTGCAGCATTGGGCTCGTCTCCTTACGCCTCCTCAAGATCCAGGCCCCGGGTGGCAAGAGATGGCCACTACGTCCTGGCCAGCCATGACACACAGCTCCAGCACGACTATGGAATGCTACAGACCAAATCCAGGACACTGCAGAGGCGGGAGGCCTAGGACAGCTGGACAGGACCATGCAAGGGCCTGGGCAACAGCTTTAGGCTGCTGTTTTGACTGTTGTAAAAGTATCGCCCTTTTGCACATGGAAGGCAGTTACTGACCCCTGCTCCACCCCAGCCCTGGCACCTTGGTGACTGTCCCAACCACGAAGCCCTCGGAAGCAGCGATGTCAGGGACGCCCTCAGTGCTGAGCCCGCGGCGGGTCAGGCTGCCGTACAGGGTCGGCTTCCCTGCGGGGAGAGCAGCCATCAGCTCGACCACCTCTCAGACCCCAGACCCCCCCTTCAGCTCACCTTCCCCTAATCCACAGGGCAACCCCCCAACTGCCCTCAACCCCTCCTAACCCACAGGGCAACCCCCCAACTGCCCTCAACCCCTCCTAACCCACAGGGCAACCCCCCAACTGCCCTCCCCAACCTCCCAAACCACACGGCATCCCCTAACCACCCTCACCCCCCCGCCCCAAACCACAGTGCATCCCCAACCGCCCTCACCCCCTCCTAACGCACAGGGCTCCCTCAAGCCCCCCAGACACCCCCTCAGCCCGCCTCCCTCCGAGGTCTCCTCAGGCCCCTCAGCACTCACCAGGGCTCCGGCAGCTCAGCCAGGCCTCTCCCTCGTCCCTCCTGCGGAGAGAAAGAGCGGCGGTGAGTGCGGAGAAGGGGACCGGAACTAGGGGAAGAGGACCGAGAGGACCATGCCCACCTCAGCGCTTGGCTCCAGTCGCTCTGGATCCGCAGCGTCGCCGCCATCTTGCCGAGGCGCCCACAACCTCTTCCGCCTCCTTCCTTCCCGTCAACCCCCGCGAAGCGAGAGCGGAAAGGGGAAGGCATCCTCCAATGAGCGAACGCTCCCACCGCTACGCCCCGCCCCGGTAGCGTCTACCCCGACGCCAGCCTTAAAGGGACCGCGCTGCGCTGCTGGACTGGTACGGGGGCGGGGGGGGCTGGGTACGGCATTGGGAGGGCAGGGAGGGGGCTGGTGAGATGTATAAGAGAGATGCTGAGCACCCATGGGTGGGGGTAAGGCGCTTGGGGGGTGCTGGACACTCACGGAAGGATGTTTAGGGGGTACTGAGCACCCATGGGTGGGGGTAAGGTGCTTGGGGGGTGCTGGGCACCCATGGAAGCATGTATGGGGGGTGCTGAGTACCCATGGAGGTGTGGGGGCTGCATGGGGGGGGTTGCTGAAATCCTTCTGGGGGTGCATGGAGCATCTGGGAGCACCCATGGGTGCATGGAGGGTGCTGGGCACCAATAGGGGTGGTGGGAAGGGGGTGCAGGGGGTGCTGAGCACCCATGGAGGTTTGGGAGTGCTGGATCACCCTGGGGGGTGCCCCCAAAAAAGGGGGCAGTGACCCACGCAGGGCTGTCGAGAGGAAGGCAGCGCCTTGATGCCTGCCACCTCTCTCCAGCCCGGCTCAGCAATGGCGAGGCCAGGACACGCCAGGAACCGTCCGTCGTTGGAGGAAGATGAGGATGAGGAGGCCGAGGACCCGCTGGACGCCATGATCTCACGGACAGGCTGCGCGGCGCAGCACCGGGAGCTGCAGGAGTGCATGGCGGCACGGCAGGACTGGCGGCATTGCCAGACCCAGGTCCGGGCTTTCGGCGAGTGCATGGCTCGGCGGCAGCGTGCCGAGGAACCGCGCCGAGCACGCGGCTCACGCCAAGCCCATCCTTCACCCACCGGGGACTGAAATCACCGGGGAACCCTGCTCCTGGCACCACCAGCCAGCCCATACTCGGCACCCCAGGAATGGGGTAGCTGCACCATTTGACCCTTTTTTGGTGTTATTTTTTATTCAAGCGGGTGGACGTGCCGGGTAAATCCACGGTATGTTGTTGGGAAATTAAATCCAGTGGCATTTGTTGTCCTGGCTGAAGCATTTGTCTCTGCGCCACCGGGGCTCACTGGGAGCTTGGAGGGGATGGTTGTGGGGTGAGATGGGGATTTCTAGCCCAAAATATCCCAAACTGGGAGCATTCAGGCTGGGTCTCAGCTCTGTGACCGCCCTGCTGCAGATTTCCACTCCCTGTCCTTCCCTGTGCCATCCCACAGCTTTTCCCAGCAGTGATATCCTCATGTCCCACAGGAGAGGACTTTGGGGGGGAATTTATCTCCTGGGAAGCCCCAGGAGCATTAGGAATGGGGGAAAAAGGGGCTTTTATGGAGTGGGATGCTCATCTGAACACCACCTCCTAGGGAATAAGCTATGAAAATGAAAATAAAATCACTTTTTGTAGGCTGGAAAGGGAAGGGCACCTGTGGCTTTTGCCAGGGGCAACTTCCTGGGAAGGTGGGTGCTGGGGCTGCCGAAGGGCTGGGTTTTCGTACTGCCAGCCAAAAATCACAGCTGGCACAGGACCACAAGTGAATATCCAGCAACACCTGAGCAGCCCCAGTTTAGGGGGGGAGTGTTAATGGTTATTTTCCCTCTTTTAAAGAGCTGGTGCTTGGGAAGGGGGAAAAAACCCCAACAAATCAACCATTTTTGGGGCAGGAACAGAACCTTCTCTTAGCTTCCATCAAAGCAGGGCTCAAATTTCATTATAACATACTTCCTAACAGGATGGCATGATCAGGTGTATCTTAGCTCCAGCCTAAGCAAAAACAGCTGCACGCACCCTGTCTCAGAATTGAAAGAACGAGGATTGGAGCAAAAACCCAGGTGCCACGACCTGTTCAACCCAGCACCCGTAGGTGCACCCAAAAGCCAGAGCTCCCACAGGCTCTGGGTTTTGCAGGACGGCAATAGTGTCTAATTCGGTCCCACATCACTCAGGAAAAGCGGCAGTCCCGGGAAAAGCATCTGGCACCATCCTGGGAAATTCTCCAAACAGCTTTGCGCTTCTGCGAGTTGTCCTTCCAAGGCACAAGTAATTTCTCCCTTTCCAAAGGGCTGTTGTAAAAAGTAGATTGACTTCAGGGATCCAGGGGAAAGTTTATCCTTTATGGCTTGAAAGGCAAATCAGAAATTAAGGAGAAATTTTGCACACACTGCCTGACACAGCTCCAACCTTCCTGCCTCTGCCCTCTGAGGCTTTTTTCTGTTAAGCAGTGGTTGTTCAGCTACTCGGGGACGATCATCCCCACCCCTCCCAGGGCTCTGAGGCTCCATTCATGTTGGTGAAGCTCTGATTTAAGCAGCTCTTACGAGAAGAACACATTGCTCCAGCCTTCAGCTGAAGAAAGGAGCAGGACAGTCACTTCCACATCAACAGCTTCTGGGAGAGTTGCAGTGCAGCATTATTAACTTGCAGAGATTTCTGCAGACTGAAACTTGTAGAAACCCAAACCCAAAACATGCAGGAAAAAAGAAAAAAAAAGAGGAAGAGCTGAGAAAAGTAACCCACATTTCATTGTGACCCCCCCTTCTCTCAGAGTACTAATCAGTCACATATAAACACATGTATTTGTCTTTATTAAGACAAGCTGCTTGACAACAGTGGAAATTTCTTCCAATTCACCAAATTATTGGTACACTGCTCATGAAGTTGCCTTCTGGAGGCTCAAACGGCCATGGGGGAGAAGGCTTGCTTTCCCAGGGGCAGCTCTGAAATGGATGGAGCATTCTTCCTCACTTCAGTTCATCTGCGCTAGCAGCTCTTCAAGTTCTGGTCGAGACTTTAATCGGCTCTTGAAGTCAGCTTCTGTGTGCTGTGGAGGGAGGAAAAAAAAAACCCTCAAGCAAGTCAGAATCACCTCTTGAGTACTTTTTGAAATCAAGAGGAATTCAAACCCTCTCCCAAAGAGAATCACTTAAGAGCAGCAAAATAAAAGACTTAAATGTCCACTGAATCCAGGGAGTGGGAAGCACAAGTGGAAAGTCACTGCAGGCTACGCTCTTGCAGGCAGCTCAACCTGGAAGCACAGCAGTCATGGACGTGCTTGATCACTGCACGCACTACTCTGAAATTCAGCCTTGTAGGCTCCTCCTCACCTGGGTAACTGCTTTTGGAAGGCTGAGCAATGGCACTCTGCTCAAGAAGTCAACTGGACATCTCCAACTCTGCCACTGCCTATCATCGTAGCATCTACTTTCCTGACGAGACCTGCCACTTTCTCCAGACCTTTGCAGGAGCATCCCAAAGCTTTCACCTCTCTTCTGCACTGCCAGTCATATCAAGCCAGCTCAGGTCTCTCCCCTGGGCTTCCTGCATCAGATTGCAATGACTTTGCAAATGGCACAATGTCACAGTTCTCCCTCCAGACGCAAAGCCATCAGCCAAAATTAAAAAAAAAAGACATGGCAGCCCTAAGGCAGAGACCGGACTGTGACCAAAGCAGAGAAGATTACTGGACTCAAGAGACCTCCTGTATTCCTTCTGGTTTTGCAGAGCTGGAGATAACTAAACATTCTTCAAAGGCCACTTAAGAAGCCAGCTGTGTTTTCATGTTTGAATTTAGCGTGCTGCCTTTCCTTTCCAGCCACAGAAGTCTTTTAGTCCCTGAATAAAAAGGGCCTGGGACTGTTCTATCCGAATGTAAAGTGACAGAAGTTTAAATATCTCCTTATGCCTTGTCCACCAGTGATTGGAGTTCTGTCCTGAAGTCCTCAGTGCTGAGAAAACTGTTGGGCCTTTCTGCAGGAAACAAGCTGAACCCCTCCCAGAGTAAATTCCATCAAAACAGGGCACAGCATTTGGGTTTCCAGTCTCAGCTTTGCTACCAACTGCTCCTTGAAGTTCCTGGTGATTCCCAGATAAGAGGCAGTGAAGCACTGCTGAAGGAAAGTGTTCCCTTCCGAGTCGCAGGGAATCTGCGGCAGCAAAGGAAAGCAACTTGCAACCTGCCATTTCCTACAGATCTATGGGATTGGCTGGGAAGGTACCTTCTGTGGCACTAATTATAGAAGGCTAAATAGAAAATGAAATGTTCATCAAGAATTAGAGAGAATGGGTTTTGATAGACCAAGTGAGGGCCTGGGTCTAGGAGATCCTGGGTATCCCTAAGTCTAGATTAGACAGTAGCCTCAGGACCAGGTCTGTATTTTCAAAGCAAATTCATGTCACGCATCATATTGCTTCCTAAATGCAAAGGCATTGGTAAAATTAAACATACCTCTTTCACTAACAGATGGACCCCTTCAGGCTGATTACTCTGAATAATTTCCAAGAGTATCGGAGCAAACGTTGAACTCAAACCGCTGATCTGAGAGAAGAAATAAAAGTGCTGCAGGAGCAGAACACCACATACAAAACAGACTCATTATATTAATGGCACAGGAAGAGAGTCCATTTCGGTATGAGCCTGTGGCAGTCAACCACTTCATTAGAGAAGCACTCCCTGCTTTGTGCACACACCTCTCGCATGCAGCACAGCCCAAAGCTCTCGTTTCGGCTCTTCTCTATGAACGCTGTGCTTCCTGCCCCTGCCTGTATGCTCTCCTGCACATAAAGAGACTTAACCACACACGAAGACCTCAATTTAGGTGACACCCTAATACAAAGGCTGCCACGGTGAACCTGCAAGCCCCAGCGTTAGCCACCCATCAGCTCTCTCCAGTGGAAAAAGTCTACCTCTAGGTTAAAAAGTAATTCAGCAGAGGTTTAGCATATAGCAAGGGAAGACACTGTAAAATAGGAAAAAGTCACTTAGGAGAAATACCTGTTTACCTCAATCAGCTGCACACTTTTGATGCTGGCCCTGATACTAATAGTATTTTTATATTTCATCAAGTTTGTCCAATCATTCATCCTTAAATATGACTTTTCTACCCATTGTATCAAGTATTCTGCATAAAATAGATCATAAATCTTCTGGCTGAAATACAGAATCCAGGAACCCCTCCTCTGCTTCTACTTTGTGAGCAACCTTTAGCAAAAAATCTAATTAGACTTCTTTGCGCTTCAATTTACGCCTTTCAGTTGTTCAAGGGAGTTAACTCCAATTGTTAAGGGGTTTTGAGAGCCTGAGATAGGAGATGCTGCACAAGAGCCGCAGCACTATCAGCAAACACCAGCTCATACCTGGACAACCCTCTGATGGGTAGTGAGGACTGCATCCAGCTGCATTTTGGAACCTCGCTCTTCCAAGAACAGCACTTCGTTGGTTTTGGTGGGCATCGCGTAGCTGCAGGAACCACAGGTCAGTGCTTAGGACAGGGAGGATAGATTTGCACTACTTTACAGGAATGAATCTACCTCCAGCAGCAGAGAATGTGGAAGGAGATTAACTTTTCATGAGAAATTAATTATGCAAACAATGTATCTTGCAAATCAAGCACTGGCAGAAGCCGGGTGTTTTACTGGAAAGAGATAAGGGAGAAGCTTGCAGCAGTATTGCCAGCAAAAAACTGTTTCAGCTACAAACACCAGCTTGAGAAGAGAACTTCTAACTTCTTTATAGCTAAAGGAGAGCTTTAAAGCAACAGTTCTGGCTTATTTTGTAATCTGTTCGTTAGGAACAGAGCTAAAAACCACTGCTGCAACACACCGCTCAAAAGACATTACTTGCACCTCTGAATTTAACAGGAGTATGATCAGGCACTGGATCAGATTCTGCTCTCCGGTTAGCTTTACTCCAGAGACCTCAGCCTCCCCATCTCCATTTGCACAGCATCAATCACAACAGGCTACATCCTACTGTCCACGTTTTACCCTACAATTTTTGCTCATAAAGGGCAAATTTCTTTCTGTACATACTGAACTCTGCACACCCAGTCCAACCTCAGAGGGCACAAGTACGTTACAGAGTAATAATGCTTTACACTGAAAGTGCTATCAACAGTCTCAGGCTGTGGGATTTCTCTGCCAATGCTTTCCAGTGCGTCGCTGCTGATGAGACTACAAGTGACTGATCTATGGACAAAGGATTTCAGACCCATGGCTAACAGTTCATCAAAGTAGATTAACATAACGAAAATGATAGGTTTAATTGTAATGAGCAGGAACCAGTGTTTATACTCAGTGTTACAATTAAAGATACACATTTCAGAGAATCACAGCGAAGTGTTTTTACTTCCTTACAGCAATGCAGTGCTTCTCCCAGCGACTACAGCTCCTTGGGTGCACTGCAGGCACCAAGAAGCTGTATCACATTCCTCAGACTCATTAAAACCAGCAATGCTGCTATCAGGGGTACACCTGCTTTGGAGATCTAGTGTGCCACTGAAGCATCCCCTACTAATAATAAGCTAAAGCAGTTGGTAGCTCTCCCACAATCTCCAGGGGTTTCCCAAGCTCATTCTAGTTTGTATAATCAGTATCATTTGCTTACTGCACAATATATGTGCAGAGCCTGGATGAAACACTATAAAGAAAAAACAGCAGCAAAAGTCAGCAATACTTAAGCCTACGTTCCTGGGGTCAGCACACACAGGCTTAAGCCTTTTTCTCAACGGAATGAAAAGTAACAGCTATTTTTTCCCTTGATATCTGTTCAGTCAGTGCCTGAACAACTCCATTTCAGACTTCCTTGTATAAATAAAGCATACAGACACACAAAAAGAGAACACCAGGCAGATGACAGAAGATTTGGATTTACAAGTAGGAATCTATCAGAGAGATTAGACTGCACCCTTCTCTGCAAGGTATCATCATCTACGAGCCTCACACGGCCTAACGCAACCTGACTGCAAGGGATGACAAACACAGAGCTGTGTTCCTCCTACCTTTCATTCACTCTGATGGAGAGTCGGTTGCAGAGTTTATGCACATACTGAGCAAAATGCTCCACGAGACACATATCATAGGAAGTCATCTGGATGTTGACATCTCCATACTCATATTCGGTTCCAACATTTATCTCTTTCATCTGTACTTTATCCTTTCTCTTCTTTGGAGCCTGTATTTAAAAAAAAAAAAAAAAAATAGAAAGCCTATCTGTTTTGAACAAAGCTGGAAATAAAAAAACATTAACTCTTGCCCCTGCACAGGAGACCATGCTAGGGTACTCTCTTCTGACACAGGTTTGCTGAACTATGTCGAACATATCACAGCCCATCTGTGCTCACTTTCCCCGACTACAAAACTGGGATGACATTATCTTAACAGATGTTCTCAAGTTGAGCAGTTCAGTTCTTGGATGGCAGCACCACAGAAGTCACACAGAAAATACATGCATACCATGATTAATTTCTTCCACAAAAAACCAAGGAGTAGAAAACAAACTGCTTTTTATTTCAGTTCCTGCCTTCAAGGCAGCTGTCTAGATGAGTTAGATGCTTCCTCCTTCCACAAAAATTGTTGTCTTTCCAAATTTCAGGGAAAGTAAAAAGTTTAAATGCAAGTAAGACCTGCTCACAATATTCTGCAATAATTTGAAGTTGGGGTGTTAAACTCAGCATCAGGAAGAGATTCCTCCCTCCCAAAACTACCCATTAACTTAAACAAGAATGTACCGGACAAAAGAAAGTATTTATGCAGTGTTGTGAGTGCATACTTCATGTGACATAACACTCTCTACCAAGAAAAGTAGCAGTAAACCACTACATTATTCCTTTTTAATATGATTCATCAGCCATGGAATTAATAATACCAACATTTAAATCAGACTGTAAAAAGACAGGTCAGATGAAAGCAAGCACATTAGGGGAGTTCTTATGCCTACCTCCTTCGGGAGCAGGTATTTAAACTTCCCAATACCATGTGTAGGACGGGATCTGTAATGTCTGTGGCAACTCACAAGCGCATCACCTTAAAATCAAAGCAGAGCAAACATGTTTCCAGCTGAATGGCAGACAGCCCTTCTTTTAAAAAACATACATGGGTGCTTTGAGAGCCCAAAATCCACACCAGGGACAAGAATTTGTCCTCGGTTCTTTGACACAAGGCAAAGGCAGGGTAAGGCTTCGGCCGATCTCTGCTCAATGCAGGCAGCCTGTGCACCATAGCAAGCCTGTTACAATTCACAGTTGGTTATGGTTTAAATAAGGAAGGAAGAGATTAAAAATGACTCATTTCCCAGGTGAATTCTTAGACAAACAAAACCAAAAAAAAAAAAGACAGACTTGTCAGCACCAGTGGATGGTGAGGATACTGATGAAATATTACATCTGCCTCCTCTTATGCGACAGCAGTGATGCTACTATGATGGATCTGAGCCCCACTTAATTTTAAATCTAGTCCTGTTCAAATATTCATATGCTAGGAAGCCAAACCAAAACTGCATCAGCTTTTATTTATACTTCCTTCTCCAGAGTAAAATGAAACCCTCAATAACGCTCATTTTAATAAACGAAGCTCAGAACAGCAAAGAAAAACTGAACACCAAGGATCTAAGCCATTCAGTTATACTTTGCCTCCGCATCAAAATCAAATTCTATTTTAAACTGTGACAGCAGACTCTACCAGCTCAATAAAAGTTAAAGTGGGTGTAAGTCAGTTCTCAGGCAGTGATGCAGTGAAAAGCATCTGGCTGGTGTCACTCCACAGCATAACGCCATGTCTAGTTCCACCTGCTTAGCCAAGAACAGGGAAACAGAAGAAAAGGTTAGAAAAAAAGGTATGGAAGTGGAAGAGCACCTGCTCAGGTTATTTAACCAATCCAAAATTGGCTAAAAAAAAAACAAAAAACAAAACAAGACACAAACGCTCAAATATGTAATATTTATTTTGGGTAAATGAAATTTTGCCTTGCACTGGATTACTAAGAGGCCTTACCTGCAGCACACAGACAGCTTTCTCTGGGTGTTGCTGCTCTGTAGGAAACAAGATGATAATTAAAAGCTCTGATTTCACACACCTGTGGAAACACAACATATCTGGCTGATCTCCTTAACCAAAGGCTCACACCCGAAGTCCCTCAGACACAGATAGATCCCGTTAGGAAAGAGATCTTCTCTCCTTCACATCCCAGACATCAGCTGAAAGTCTTCCCTCCACAAAAAAGATTTTCCTTAGCAAAAAGTACTTTTTTTGTCATGTATGTTTTCTGACAGTCAGAAGTGACCGAGCATTTTTAATGCCTTATACTGTGTATTACTTACTGGGTTTGATTTCAGACCACTCACCTGCTGAGCGCAAACACCTGCTTTAGCAATGCTCTCTTCCTCAAGCACAGCACCTGCAACAAGCCACAATGGTCAAAACACAAACAGTATAGTGGATACTCAGTGAGTCTTCACTCACACTTCCCAGAACACACCCATCAAAACAACACATAAGACCCTCTGAACGTACCAATAACCCTCCACTGCCACCAGCCACTATCACTTTCCAGAATACCACCGCAACACAGAGGAAAGGGATGAAGGAGGAGGAAGATGATGACTGCGGTAACCTCCTCATGCACCCCCTCACTTTGCTTCAGGATCCAACAAGTGGGGGTGGGCGACCCTCCTCCCCTTGGTTACAGACCATATTCATCCCTCGCACCTGTCCCACCGCCTCCAGGCGACAACAGCCGCACGAACAACCCTCGTGCTTGTTCCAGCTCCGCACGGACGAAGGGAAACACAGCTCATCCATCCCCAAGACAGCGCGAAGCAAAGCGCTCTGCTGTCACCACAACCCTGGCAGGCCAGGAGCTGCATCATGCCAACCGGGGTGGGGGGGGATAATTACCAATGTCCCCAAAGAGTGACGAGAGGGACAGGGAGGACCAGGGATCTGCCGCTCCTCGAGGGCAGTGACATGGCGGGGGGGGACCTTGTGTCTCTGGGGTGATCCCTAGGTGCTGCAGGAGGGGTGGGGGTCTCTGCCCAAGATAGGCGACCCAGGGCACTAACTCAGGGTCAGGCCTGTGTCCCCCCAAGAGACACAACCCCCCCCCCAATCTAGTCCCAGGGCCGGGTCGGGCCTGTCTCCCCCTCAGAAGGGCCGGGCCTGACCCTGCCGTCCCCGGTCCCAGAACCAGGCCTGTCCCTCCTCTCCCCGCCCCGTCCTCCGCCGGTAACCGAGGCCGGGCCCGGTGTCCCCAACAGCCGGCCAGAGCCCGCCGGTACCTTCGGTAAGGCCGCGTTCATCCCTACGCCTCAGACAGAGACGCGTCCGTCGCTCTAAAGCGCCCCCCCGCCTTGGTGCTCCCCCGCTAAGCGTCCCCGCGGCCCGCGGCTCTCCGCCCCGCGTTCCGCCCACGGGTGCCTCCCGAGTTGCCCCAATTTTTGGACATCCTCTCCCCCCCGCCTCCAGTGGTCGCAGGACTCCGGTCTCCTGCAGGAAGGGGTGGGCAATGCTTGTGGGGGGGACGGACGGCGACACGACATGGCGGACACTTTGTTCCTGCCGCCCCACGGAGCCCCGCGACGTGGCAGCGGCTGCGCGGCGCACCCAAGCCTGCGCCCCAGCGCTACGCACCTTGCTAGCCGCGGCCCCGCCCCCCGCCCGCTCCTCGCACACTGATTGGCCTTCCGCCGCGTCCATCGAGGCACGGCTCGGCGGCCATGTTGAGTGTGGCCTGGGTGGACTCGCACCTAGCGGGGCGAGGCGGTTGTGCTGAGCGCCGTCTGTCCGGCCCCGCCTCAGCGTGTTGCGGCGGCCATCTTGAGTGTGGCTTGCCCGGCCCCGCCTTGCGACGGCCATGTCAGCGGAGGGCGGGAACGCTGTGAGGGGAGAGCGGGGATGGAGGGTGGCTGGGGTCAGGCAGGTGGTCTGCTTTTATGAGCCCTCAGTCAGTGCACTTTATCCGTGCTGGCTGTGGGATCGAGGCAGGAACCCAGCGGGGGTTCAGCAGGCCCCTGCTCCAGCCTGGAGACAGGCCCTGTGGGGTGTGAGGGCACCTGGGGCCGGCCGGGGTGTGCAGGCCTGAAGCAAGGGCCAGGGGATTTGGCACTAAACCTGCGTCGTTTGGCGCTGCCACCTGGTACAAGCGCTACAGAGGGGTTTTCTTTGCGGTTGCAGAGGACGGGCTGGACCTTAGCCTGTAGTCACCAGCTGTGTAATGGTCCGGGGTTGGCTGTGTCCATGCTGGCAGGCCGCCACGGACCTTGAAATGAGGTGTTTGGGCCCCATGGCAGGCGTGCTTTTGGTTTGTGGGGGAAGCAAAGACAAACTCCTCTTTCCACAGCAGGCTGCTCCCTCTGAGGGAAGCGTGAATCCTGCCTTACTGCTAGCGCTTTGATCCCAGCCACTCTGGAGGCAATTCCCTAAAACCTTTATAGTGGGAGGACTGTAGGAAGGGTGGACTGATGGGGACCTCCCCGATCTGCAGCATGTGTTTCCCAGTGGGAGAGGAGCTGGGCAGGGGGGTCTGCCTGGCAGAGTGGGGTGGGAAGAGATAGGCACTGCGTAGCCCTGTGCCCCCCAAACCTGGCAGTTGGGAGTTGGCTCAGGAAAAGCCATCCTGTTGAAAACTGCCCTATCCTGTCTCTTCAGCCCTCCTCCTCTTCACCAGGCCATCTCCTATACAAACCTTTATTTCTCCTAGGCTCTTCCCCACTTTCTTCTCTCCTGCCTCGCCCCAGTTTCCCCCTTCTTGCGTGGCAGATACTCCTGCCCACTTCCCTGAGCCCCCATCTTAGAGCTGTCTATCCTGGGCAGCAGCTGCCTGGCAGCTTGATTTCAGGTCAGGACTTCTACCTCTGCTGACTGATTGCTGCTCCAATTGCTTTTGGCTGGAGCTGTCAGGGCTCATGATGGACTTTCTCTCTCCAGTTCATCTGCGTTCATTGATGTGGCAAGTCTCCTCTGCTGCAGACCAGACTCATGCATTTGATTCCTGCTCCATGATCTACCCTGCCAGGCCCTGTCCTGCATTTCCAAGTGCCTGGAGCTCGCAAGACACACCTGACACCCCAGAGGTTCATCCCCATTGTGATCTGATGCATGGAGGTGAGAGAAGGAATGTGAGATGACAAGGTTTGCCCGAAAGCAGAGCCTGGGTGGGCTCTGTGCCACGCACAGGGCTGTGCTGTTTCCTCCAGCATATGGAGTAAGCAGAGTGGACCTGTGCTACCTTTGATCTCTCCTCCACACTTTGCAAGGACGTGGGCTCCCAGCTCTGAGCTGTGTTTTCGTGGCGCTCCCTGGACACGACAAAACTGCTCACGTGGAACGGATGTTGTACTGCCCTTTGATCTCACCTCGCAAGCCCCAGGCAGGGCCACCCTGGCAATGACACTTGTTTGATAACTCCAGGGTGCTTCGAGCAAGGAGCACTGTGGGAGTCTGAGCTGGGTTAATACCGGCACTCCCATTCCAGGAAAGCTGGGCTTCAGCTCCCCTGAACTTTGAAAACCTGGAGGAAATTCCATGCTTGAGAGGGGGCTGCTGTGACTGGAGGGGGACTGGCTGGTCCTGCATTTGTCAGGGGAGGCTGTGACAGGCACTGCAGTTAACAGCAGGTCATGCTCACGATGACCCCTTGTTCCAAGACCTCAAAAACTGTGTGCTCGTGGAGGGGGGCTACACCCCTTAATTTCCTCTGACCCTCATGGGGAGTCATCTTTCGGCCACCCACAAAATGTGGCTGAGGAGGGGGCATTGCCCCAGACCAAGTTTGGGGTACAGCAGTCACTGCTAAATGTATTGCAGGAATTCCCTTCCCAATGTCCATCATTGCCCTACATGTCTCAGTGAAAAACTAGTCCATCTCTTCATTGTGGAGTTTCTCCAACATCTGTCATAGATGGATACGTTTTAAGGCCAAAAGGGACTGTTAAATCATGTAATTCAGTCTCCTGCACATTGCAGCCTATAGATTTCCGCTGACTTGCAGCTGTATGGAAGCAGATCACTCCTGTTTCGATGAAAGCATCTTTCTCATAAAGGCTCCTGCTCTTGATTTTCCCTGGATACAAAGATAGGGCTGCTCTTGGCAGCTTGTTCTGGCGGCTGAGCACCCTCTCTGTTAAAAACGTGGACCTTCTTTCCAATTTGAATGTGTCTCGGCTTCAGCTCCCAGCTGCTGGTCCTCACTATGCCTTTCTTTGACTAATGAATCGTTTCACAGCCAGGTAACTGAATCCCTGTTTGCAGGAGCACAACCTGCCTTTTTGTGACATTTAGAAAAAGAAGCAAAGCCGCAGAAACCCAAACCACCCCTTTTCTGTACTGCGCTAAAGAAACCCAGGGAGCTCTTCTTCTTTTCAAGGCTCCCCCAGCTGCTGAGAGGGCCAGGCCTTGCTGGAGAGGTTGTTTCATCCATCCTCTTCTGCTTCGCTGCAGATTTCTCCCAGTCACGTAGCTGGATGTGCCCTGTCAATGACCCAGCGTGGTGCACAGCGCAAGTGCTGGCAGAGATGATGCTCGAGCGGTTTGCGACCTACGCAGAAGGCTGTTGCAGGCTCCCTGTCCCTTCTCAATCCACTCTCTATTGTGCTGTCTGGAAGAGCAAAGCTGTCCTAGAAGAGTTAAGATCCAGCGCCTGAATCTCCACCTCTTTTCGGACTTGTTCGATTACAAAAACAATCAAAAAGTGTTTAAATACACCTTAGAAAAAAATCTCTGTTGTGCATGTCTCCTCTTCTACCTTCTGCAGCACTTCTTAGGACCGCACCTAAGGCCCGCAGGGGTCGGCGGGATGATCTCCCCTAGCTTCAGCAAGTGGAGGCAGGTCCCTCAATTGCTTTATCTTGAAAGCCTCATCCATATCCCCTGCCAGCCCCTCGGGCTGAAACCTCTTCGGCAGGCAATGCAGAAGTGTTTCCTTTGCTCAGTGCGAAGAGATGCTGAGCCTGAGCAGAGCTTTTGTGATAAAAATAATTGTTCCTAACAGACGACTTTTCCCTGATGGAGAGCCCTTGTTTTCCCTGGGATCAGTGGGAAAGATCCTTGAATCCATACTGACACATAACCAAGGAAAATATATGTATTTAAAATGATGTTGGAATTAGTTAAGTCAGGTCTCTGCCAGTCTGGATTCCCTTTCCTGGTGGTGTAGGAGAGCAGCCACATGACCAGTGCCACAGCAAGGGGGAAGTGCTCCCAAATGCCGGGTGCAAAGCTGAATGCGAGCTCCTGCTCATATCTTTATTAAAACTTATTTAAATTTAACCACCTTATTAAAGACACATTTTCTCTTTCAGTTCACTGGCAGTTCAAGACCTGGAAAAAAAAAACTTTGGAGAAGCAGTTAATCATGTTGAGGGAGTACAAATGAAATGATCAAAAATAGAAAATGTAGACTGTTCGGTTTTCAAAATGCCGTCTAATTCTGCACCTGGGTTGCGGGCGCTGGTAGGGGTGAGACTCATGTCCCCAGAGCGGGGAGCGTTTCCATTCACCAGGCAGAGACAGAGCACAGAGACCACAGCTGGAGACACCGAACAAAGGACATTCATGGCCCAGGGTGACCTACCTGCAAGCAAATCCTTGCCGAGAGCCTGTGCCCCTTCTGGCTACACGGACCATTTACAAATCCAGGACAGCGGGTCA